TCAATGAATTCCAGTGAATTCCAGGAATTCCAGGCCGGGATCCCAGTGAATTCCAGTGAATTCCAGTGAATCCCAGTGAATTCCAGTGAATTCCAGGCCGGGATCCCAGTGAATTCCAGTGAATTCCAGGCCGGGATCCCAGTGAATTCCAGTGAATTCCAGTGAATCCCAGTGAATTCCAGGGATTGGGGGTGAATTCCAGTGAATTCCAGTGAATTCCAGGCCGGGATCCCAGTGAATTCCAGTGAATTCCAGGCCAGGATTTCAATGAATTCCAGGCCAGGATTTCAATGAATTCCAGGCCGGGATTTCAATGAATTCCAGTGAATTCCAGGCCATGATTTCAATGAATTCCAGGCCAGGATTTCAATGAATTCCAGTGAATTCCAGGCCAGGATTTCAATGAATTCCAGGCCAGGATTTCAATGAATTCCAGTGAATTCCAGGCCAGGATTTCAATGAATTCCAGTGAATTCCAGGCCGGGATTTCAATGAATTCCAGGCCATGATTTCAATGAATTCCAGGCCATGATTTCAATGAATTCCAGTGAATTCCAGGCCGGGATTCCAGTGAATTCCAGGGATTGGGGGTGAATTCCAGTGAATTCCAGGCCAGGATCCCAGTGAATTCCAGGGATTGGGGGTGAATTCCAGTGAATTCCAGGCCAGGATTCCAGTGAATTCCAGTGAATTCCAGTGAATTCCAGGCCGGGATCCCAGTGAATTCCAGTGAATCCCAGGCCAGGATTTCAATGAATTCCAGTGAATTCCAGGAATTCCAGGCCGGGATCCCAGTGAATTCCAATGAATCCCGTGAATTCCAGGCTGGGATCCCAGTGAATTCCAGTGAATTCCAGGAATTCCAGGCCAGGATCCCAGTGAATTCCAGTGAATTCCAGGCCAGGATCCAGTGAATTCCAGTGAATTCCAGGCCAGGATCCAGTGAATTCCAGTGAATCCCAGGCCGGGATCCCAGTGAATTCCAGTGAATTCCAGTGAATTCCAGTGAATTCCAGGAATCCCAGGCCAGGATCCAGTGAATTCCCAGGATCCCAGGGATGGGGAGCACCCACGGCGGATCCCTGCGGCGGCGCGCGGGGGCGGGAGGTGTTGGATCACGCGGGTCCCTCCGAACAGGACGTGGAGCCGCCCGTCCGTCCCCACGTCCAGCACTCGCTCCGGGCTCAGCCCCTCCACTGGCTCCTGCAGGGATTTCCCATCATTCCCAAAAAACATTCCCACTTTCCCACCAATTCCCCAATTTCCCCAACTTTTTCCCATTTTTCCCCAATTTTTTCCCATTTTTCCCCCATTTTTTACCATTTTTTTCCATTTTTCCCCCAATTTTCCCCAATTTTTTCCCCAATTTTCCCCCCAATTTTTTCCCATTTTTTACCAATTTTTTCCCATTTTCCCCCAATTTTTTCCCATTTTTTACCAATTTTTTCCCATTTCCCCCAATTTTTTCCCATTTTTCCCCCATTTTTTCCCATTTCCCCCAATTTTTTCCCATTTTCCCCCAATTTTTACCATTTTTTTCCATTTCTCCCCCAATTTTCCCCAATTTTTTCCCATTTCCCCCCAATTTTTTCCCATTTCCCCCCAATTTTTTCCCATTTTTCCCCAACTTTTCCCCATTTTTTACCAATTTTTCCCATTTTTTACCAATTTTCCCCATTTTCCCCCAATTTTTTCCCATTTCCCCCCAATTTTTTCCCATTTTTCCCCAATTTTTTCCCATTTTTCCCCCATTTTTTACCANCCCCCAATTTTCCCCCAGTTTTCTCCCGATTTTTTCCCCCTTTTTTCCCATTTTCCCAATTTTTCCTCGATTTCCCCCCAATTTTTTTCCTGTTTATTCCCATTTTTCCCCCCAGTTTTTTCCTGTTTTTCCCCAATTTTTTCCCATTTTCCCCCCCAATTTCCCCCCAACTTTATCCCAATTTTATCCCAATTTTTTCCCATTTTCCCCCCCTATTTTATCCCGATTTTTTCCCTGTTTTTTCCCATTTTCCCCTCCAATTTTCCCCCAATTTTTTCCCCATTTTTTCCCATTTTTCCCATTTTTCCCACCTTCATCTGTGGCACAGACTCTCCTGTCAGCATGGCCTCGTCCACCACGCAGCGCCCGCGCAGCAGCAGGAGGTCACAGGGCACCAAATTCTCCTGGGGGGAGCGGCCTGGGGGCACAAATTCCCAAAATTCCTAAAAATTCCCAAAATTCCCCAGCCCAAACCCAAATTTTGGGGATTTTTCCCCAATTTTTTCTCCATTTTTCCCCAATTTTTTCCCCAATTTTCTCCCATTTTTCCCCAATTTTTTCCCATTTTTTCCCCATTTTTCCCCCATTTTCCCTCAATTTTTTCCCATTTTTCCACAGTTTTTTCCCCATTTTCCCCCAATTTTCTCCCATTTTTCCCCAATTTTCTCCCATTTTTCCCCAATTTTCTCCCATTTTTCCCCAATTTTTTCCCCATTTTTTCCCAATTTTTTCCAATTTTTCCCCCATTTTTCCCCAATTTTTTCCCATTTTTTACCATTTTTTCCCATTTTTCCACAATTTTTTCCCATTTTTCCCCCATTTTTTACCATTTTTTCCATTTTTCCCCAATTTTCCCCAATTTTTTCCCATTTTTTCCCAATTTTTTCCCAATTTTTTCCCAATTTTCCCCAATTTTTTCCCATTTTTTCCCAATTTTTTCCAATTTTTCCCCCATTTTTCCCCAATTTTTTCCCAGATCCCAAATTTCCCGTTTTTCCCTGGATCTGGAGGAAAAGAACTTGGAAAAAGAAAAATTCAGGGAAGAGCAGCCCCCGGAATTCCGGGAATTTTGGGAATTGGGGGGGGATGGGTGGAAAAACCAAAGAATTCCAAGGAAAAAAGAGGAAAACCCCGGTGATAAAACCCCCCCCAAATCCAACCCGGAATTCCTGCAAAAACCAGGAAAATTCCAAAGGGATCTCCGGGAAAAACGGGAATTCCACCTCAAAAATGGGGGAAAATCCCAATTTCTCAGGGATTTTTCCATGAAAAAATCTCCATTTTCAAGGTGTTTTCCACCCCAAAATTCCGTTTTTTGGGGCGTTTTCCATGGAAATCCCCGTTTTAAAGGAATTATTCCATGAGAATTCCCGTTTTTCCATGAGAATTCCCGTTTTTCCACGGGAATTCCCGGTTTTTTACCGATGGAGACGACGTCCCCGGCCACGATCTCCTCGCTGGAAATCGGCCGCCACTTCCGGTTCCTGTAGACCTGGAATTCCCAAAAATTCCCCATTTTTGGGATGGAATCGGTGGGAAAAGGAACAAAAATTAATCCAAACCCCCCTCAAATCCCCATTTTTAACAAGAATCGTTGGGAAAATGATGGGAAAGGGGGGAAAAAACACCCAAAAATGTGAATTTTGGGACAAAATCAGCAGGAAAACCACGGGAAAAGGGAAAATAAATGGGAAAAATTCCCAAAATCCACAAAAATCCGATTTCCCAGGAAAAAATCCACAAGAAAACAGAAAATAAATGGAAAAAAAAATCAAAAAAAATCCTAAAAATTCGATTTCCAGGGGAAAAATCCACAAGAAAATGAAAAATAAATGGAAAAAAATTCCCAAAAAATTCCTAAAAATTCGATTTCCAGGGAAAAAATCCACGAGAAAATGAAATATAAATGGAATAAAATCCCAAAAAGTCCTAAAAATCCAATTTTCAGGAAAAGAATCCACAAGAAAATAGAAAGTAAATGGAAAAAAGTTCCAAAAAATCCTAAAAATCCAATTTCCAGGAAAAAAATCCACAAGAAAATGGAAAATAAATGGAATAAAATTCCAAAAAATCCTAAAAATCCAATTTCCAGGGGAAAAATCCACAAGAAAATGGAAAATAAATGGAATAAAATTCCAAAAAATCCTAAAAATCCAATTTCCATGGAAAAAATCCACAAGAAAATGGAAAATAAATGGAAAAAATTCCAAAAAAAATCCTAAAAATCCAATTTCCAGGAGAAAAATCCACAAGAAAATGGAAAATAAATGGAAAAACAATTAAAAAAAAATCCACAAAAATCCAATTTCCCGGGAAAAAATCCACAAGAAAACGGAAAATAAATGGAAAAAAATATAAAAAAAAATCCTAAAAATTCGATTTCCAGGGGAAAAATCCATAAGAAAATGGAAAATAAATGGAAAAAAATTCCAAAAAAAATCCTAAAAATCCAATTTCCAGGGGAAAAATCCGCAAGAAAACAGAAAATAAATGGGAAAAAATTAAAAAAAAAATCCTAAAAATTCGATTTCCAGGGGAAAAATCCACAAGAAAATGGAAAATAAATGGAATAAAATTCCCCAAAAAAATCCTAAAAGTCCCATTTCCAGGAAAAAAATCCACAAGAAAACAGAAAATAAATGGGAAAAAATATAAAAAAAAATCCTAAAAATTCGATTTCCAGGGAAAAAATCCACAAGAAAATGGAAAATAAATGGAAAAAAGTTCCAAAAAATTCCTAAAAATCCAATTTCCAGGGGAAAAATCCACAAGAAAATAGAAAGTAAATGGAAAAACAATTAAAAAAAATTCCTAAAAATCCAATTTCCATGGAAAAGAATCCACAAGAAAATAGAAAGTAAATGGAAAAAAGTTCCAAAAAATCCTAAAAATCCAATTTCCATGGAAAAAATCCACAAGGAAACGGAAAATAAATGGAAAAAAATTCCCAAAAAATCCTAAAAATCCAATTTTCCTGGAAAAACACAAGAAAAAAATGGAAACCCAACGGTTTAAATCCCCCAAAATTCCAATTTTGGGGGCCAAAGCGGGGGGAAAAGCGCGAGGAAACGCTCCCAGAGGGGCGGATTTTGTGGGAAGGGCCGGAATTCCGGGTTTTTACCTGGATCATGAGGGCGGATTTTGTGGGAAGGGCCGGAATTCCGGGTTTTTACCTGGATCATGAAGGGTTTGTTGCCCATTTTCCGGATCTCCGAGAGGTTCCGGAGCTGCTGCTGCACCAGGGAGGCCTCGAAAGCCACGAGCATGGAGAGGGTGAAGACGCTGTAGTACCAGAACTCGTCCAGGCACCACAGCCCCACGCAGAAAACCTGGGAAAATGGGGGAATTCCGGGATATTCCAGGATATTCCAGGATATTCTGGGGTTTCGGCTCAAAATTCCTGAAATTTCAGCCCAAAATCCCGGAAATTTCAGCCAAAAATCCCGGAAATTTCATGGGAAAA